TCTACTTACACCCAGGCCTTAAAGTTTGCCACAGGAAGTAGTGAATTGCAGTTGAAGATTCATCTGCTGAGTTTATGGCACAACACGACTTGGTCACTTTGAGGTTGAGAAAGGAAATGGGAGACTCTCACTAAGAAGAAAAACTGCTATCTTTGAAAGGTTTTGCCTCTGAAAATATGCACTGATTGTTTGTCTGGGTAACAACATTAGAGTTTCCTTTCAAAAGATCTCCTTCTCCATCTAGAAAACCTGGTTATTCTATAATTGGTAACACACTGATGTTTGCTCAATGGGTGGACAAATCATTGAGTGGTTGCTTCATATTTATGTTAGCTTATTGATTGATCCATTCTAGAAAGGTGTGGGCTTTTCAATTTAAAAGTCAATAAGACCCAGGTGTTGGATATGTTTTAAAGTCTTTCATGTCCAGTGTTGAAAGACAAACGGAAAGGAAAGTTAAAATGTGTTGAGCTGATAATGGTTTGGTGAGTACAGAGGACGTTTTGAAAAAGTATTACTCAGAACACGGCATTCAGACTTCAGGAAGACAGTTTTCGACAAACGGGAAGAAAGTTGAAATGTGTTAGAGCTGATAATGGTGGTGAGTACAGAGGACCATTTGAGAAGTATTGCTCAGAACATGGCATCAGACTTTAGAAAACAGTTCCTAAAACTCCACAATAGAATGGAGTTGCAGAGAGAATGAACAGAACCATTGTTGAAAGGGTTAGATGTATGCTCTCTTATGCTAAACTTCCGAAAACCTTTTGGGCTGAAGCAATGAATACTGCAGTTTACTTGATCAACCTTTCACCTTCAACCTCTCTCAACGGAGATGTACCAGAAAAGATCTAAGCTTAATTCGAAGTCAAAAACAGTGTATCTTCTTGGGTTATGGAAATGATGATTTTGGGTACAGATTATGGGATCCAGTTGAAAAGAAACTCATCAGAAGCAAAAGCTCATCAGAAGCAGAGATGTAGTATTCCTGGAAGACCAAACCATTGAAGACTTTGAGAAAAATGAAAAGCCAAAGTCTATCAATGAGTTTCCTATTAGTCTAGATGCAGAACCTCGTATAGAACCACAAAATGATGAAGAAGATGATGATGAACCTGTTCAGAATGATGCTGAACTAGCTCCAATAGAAGAACTACCTCAATTGAGAAGATCTGCGAGAGGCAGGATACCTTCCTAGAGATATTCTCCTAATGAGTATGACTTGTTGATTCAAGGGGGAGAATCAGAGAACTACCAGGAGGCCAGAGAACTACCAGGAGGCAATGGAAGATTCTAAAAAGAATGAGTGGCTGAAAGCCATGCAAGATGAGATGGAGTCCTTGCATGAGAACCATACTTATGAGTTGGTGAAACTACTATGAGTTGGTGAAACTGCCTCAAGGTAAGAAAGCACTGAAGAACAAATGGGTGTTCAGGTTGAAGACTGAACAGAACAACTCACAGCCAAGGTACAAGGTGAGACTGGTTGCGAAGGGATTCGGTCAGAAGAAAGGAGTTGACTTTGAAGAAATTTTCTCACCCGTTGTCAAGATGTCTTTTATCAGAGTTGTGCTCGGATTAGCAGCTAGCTTGAATTTGGAGATCGAGCAACTTGATGTAAAGACTGCTTTCCTTCATGGTGACTTAGAGGAGGAAATTTATGTGGAGCAACCAGAAGGGTTTAGAGTCAAAGGCAAAGAACACTTGGTGTGTAAATTGCAGAAGAGCTTGTATGGCCTCAAACAAGCTCCCAGACAATGGTACAAGAAGTTTGACTCTTTCATGGTGAATCACGGGTATGAGAAAACTACTTCTTTGTGTATTGTGAAAAAGTTTCGCCCAGAAGGCGACTTTATTATTCTCTTGTATATTGTGGATATATGCTTATTGTGGGCCAAGATGCTAAGAAAATTGAGAGCTTTGAAAAAAGGAACTTGGAAAATCCTTTGCCATTGAAGGATTTGGGATCCGGCAAACAGATACTCGGGAATGAAGATCTCCAGAGAAGACAGGAAACAAAGAAAGTTGTGGCTATCTCAAGAGAAGTACATAGAGAAAATTCTCAGCAGATTCAACATGAGCAATGCGAAACCAGTTAGTACTCCACTTGCAGGTCATTTCAAATTAAGTCTCAGTCAATGTCCTTCAAATGAGAAAGAAAAAGAAGAACTGAAGAAGATTCCTTATACATCCGTCGTTGGCAGCTTGATGTACGCCATGGTATGCATAAGACCGGATATTGCTCATGCTGTTGGTGTTGTTAGCCGATTTCTTTCAAATCCAGGTAAAGAACACTGGAATGCGGTGAAGTGGATTCTCAGGTATCTTAACAGGTATCTAGGCACTTCCAAATGTGCTTATGTTTTTGAGTGATAATAACCTGTGTTTTAGATGGTTACCAACAGATGCAGATTGGGGTGGTGATGTGATTCGCCAATCAACTTCTGGATATCTGATTGACCTTGCAGGTGCAGCAGTTTCTTGGCAAATCAAAATTGCAAAAATGCGTTGCACTCTCAATCCACTGAAGGCGGGAATATATCGCCATTACAGAAGCTTATCAAGACTCTTGTGATGAAGAAAATTTCCACAAGAATGGGTGTAGAACAAGAGAAGTACCATTCTGCTATGCGATAGTCAAAGCCGCGATACATCTCAACAAGCAATTCGACCTTTCATTTCAAGGTCAAAGCACATTGATGTGAGGTATCATTGGATACGCGATGCGCTAGGATGAAGTTATTTCAGATTGAAAAAGATTTCACACTAATGATAATTTGGCGTTGATATGATGACTAAAGCTTTACTACGGAGAACTTTGTCACTTGCAGAAGATAGCCGGTATGGTAACGTCCCCACTTGAGTGTGCAGGGGGAGATTTGTTGTGCGGTGCCCACTCAAATGGGACCCACATTTGAAACAAAACAAAAAAAAAAGAAAAGAGAAAATGTGGTAGGACCCACACGGTTTGAAAAAATAAAAAGGAAGAGGAAAATTTATTTTCGGTGGACGCGTTAGGATTGGGTGGACGCATTACAGTTTCGGTGGACGCGTAATTAACGCGTCCACCCTCTCCTATAAATAGGAGATGGCTCAGCCATCTCAATACATACAACCGAGCGAAGAGAGTTTTTGAGAGAGTTTGAGTTTTAGAATTGGGTTCTATAACTCGGGTAGAGAGAATAGTGAGGATAATTTGGGAAACACTTTTGAGTGCCACTATTTTGTATTACTCTCTTTGTAAGCCTACTATTTTTTAATAGTGATGAAGAATTATAGGTTTCTTCCGTGGACGTAGCCCTAACAGTTAAACGTAGCCCTAACAGTTAAAGGGTGAACCACGTAAATATCTGTGTCATATTTCTATTTTTTCGCTGTGTTATTATTCTCGTAATTTTATTGCCGGGCCCTATCAGAATCGAGAAAGCTTTGGAGCTTGGTTTTACTTTGCTGGTTTTTGAAACAAAATGCAGTATAGTGGCCAATCATTTGAAGCAGCAGGAGGTACCTCGAAACAATTTTGGAACCAGAATATTGAGATGTTTATTGCTCACTAGTCAATGTACTCTCTTTTCTTCTTCTCATGTGTTTAGAGAAGCAAATAGGATAGCTCAATCCCTAGCTAAACTAGCTCTTTCTTTAGAACTAGTTGAGTCAGCGTGGATAGAGGAGGTCCCTCCTTCCATCCTTGTGTTTTGAACAATAGTTTGGTTTCATCTTTATAAAATTTGCCATATTTTCCTCAAAAAAATATTGATATACTATATTAATATATTAATATAAGGAACTTAAGTGTAATTAATAGAAATATTAATTCTGTTAATTTTAATTTGATATTAATATTATTGTTTGTGCTATCAATGTTATTCATTATTAATCGTAATTAAACTGTCAAATTCACTAAATCTTACTTTGTGTTTATGCATAAAATGTTATATAGTCTTAGGTTTAACAATTAATATCTTCAATTTTTTGACTTATACTCACTCGCAGAAGTTAGTTTAATTTGATTTTTATTATTATCGTTTATTTTTAATAGAAAATTATTAATTTCTAGAATTATCTTTTATTGTTGAATGGATATTTTTTATTCTATAATTAATAAAATTAAATCTTGTAAATTGCTATGAGTCTTTTATTTGATTTTTAGATTTATATTTTTATTTAAATTTTATAGAAAAGAATATGAATATGGAGAAAACAAAAATTGTATTGAATATTTTATTTAATTATAAATTATTTTGGCCTAATGATATAAAAAAGCCTGAATTTTGACCTTTTTATCAATTATGGCTGGTTCTTTCAATTTTATCAATTAATATCGCATACTTAATTTTTTGTATCAATTCTAGCCTTCGTTTGTCTTCCGTCAATCTTATGCTAATGTGGCAGTTATCTCTCACAAGTGGGTCCTACAACATTCAATATCAGCGCGAAGTTCATATATCCACATATACTAAAAAAAAAAAAGCTAAACTTTAATGTTTTTATCAAATCTGACAAGTTCTTTTAATTTTATCAATCAATACCGCATACTAATTAATCCATACTAATTAATCTTTATCAAATGATTTTGCTATTTAGATATTTATTCAATTAAATAGTCTATTAAATAACTATGTATATTAAGTGCATATTGGGATTAATCAATTAGAATTCAATTTTACTGAAGAGTCTTTTAAAAATATTATTTTTAAATATACTAATCAATATAGAATTTAACTTCTCAAAACTTATTTTTCTCTATGTTTATTAGTACCATTTCCAGGATGAAATTAAAGAAATTTTAGAAAATCACTATATGAAGATATCTGGTCATTAAAAAATCAAATAGCTGGTGAAAAACCAAATAAAAACCGTCAAACACAAATCAAAATCAGAAATCTGCAAGAAAAATCCCATTTCTGATAGAAATTTCAAATTTCAAACTACTTCACTAAAATTTTTCAAAAACATAATAAAAGAAATACTGAATATCAAAAAAGAAAGAGGAGAAGAATACTCAAACTGTTTAAGAATGGAATTGAGGATTTTTCCTCATAGTGATTATCAGATTAACGAGATTATAATCTAATCGGTATTGCATCTTTTCCTTATTGTCATAAATTAAAAGATAGGAATAATAGAAAAAGATGATTGCAAATGAAACTCAGCAGTAAACACAGTTGCTATGGAGATATTAAGTTTTGGCTTTCGAAGCTGTTTTCTAAATGAAGATGGAAACAATTTATAATTCCTATTAAGGCCTCCTAACCCAATTTTCATTAGGTTTGTTCAAATGAATAGAGTCCGGCTCAAAAATAAACAATTAATTGTTTATTAATAATAGTCCTTCCTTTTAAGGCCCCTAATAATAGCCCAAGTTATAAAACTAGTTCGTTTTCCTTTTTTTTTTTTTTTTTTTTTTTTTTTTTTTTTTTTTTTTTTGGTAATTTACAACTGTTCGTCAAATCAATGATTGTAGGCCAATTGCAATTTAAAACTGATTTTAGCATAGCCCTCCGCAATTTTAGCCTGACTGAAAATTAATACCCTCAAGTTGGATCCATTTCAGTCAAACATATATGTAGATATGTAGTGTAACATATAACTCAATTAGAGTTGCATTATCAAATCCAAACCCATTTATGGACCGATAATGTTTATAAAAGAAAACAAATTAATAAAATAAAGAGAGATTCATTAATTTAAAATTTATGTTACGTTTTAAAAATTATTTAGTATTTACATATTCCTTTTATACAAAGTTATTTAGTTTTTATAAATTCTATCTTTTTAATTATACTTAAAAATACATTTAAAAATATTATATATAAAAATTCGGTTGAACCGTATTGAATTCACTCTAATCATTCACTTCTATGAACTCCTACCTTCATCAATTCGTTGATTGGTCTGATTCCTCGAACATTAGTACAGGGGATGAAAGTCTCTACAAGAGAAGTGCCAAGAGGCACATATAACATTTCAATCTCTACAAAGTTTTGGTTGAATATTTTGAAGGCTACTATTTTATATGTTGAGTTTCAATATTAATAATATGCAGCGGAATAAAATAATTAACAATCGTTTTAAACTCTCTTAAACTTTATATATGAAAGTCTTATATCATAAATAGATTATAACTAAAATATATATGTCTTTATTTATTTATTTAAACAATTTAAATAGATAAATCATAATACGTATATTACTAGGATTTTTCAATTTACTTAATTTTATTTATTTAACTATTTAAATAAATAAATCATAATTAATATATTAGGTATATATAATCTAAAATTTATGTCATTAAATTTTAGATATAAATTAACTAAGTCATACCTAATAATTTAGGTGAGAATTGCAAATTAAATATAAATTACAATTTTATCCTTAAAACCTCAAAACTTATTTGTAATCAAGTCATACTTGATATGATTTCTCGTTTTTACTTTCTCATATCCATTTTTATGTGTGTGATCTATTTATAAGTCTAAATATGTTGACAATAAATAAAATTAATTAATATTTGAAGGTCAAAAACATATCATGACTATTCAAATATTTAGAAAGCTAAAGTGGTTTGACTTGACTTTTGAGTACATGATTTATCAGTGTAATTAATATCATTTCATCATTAATGTTTTGATTTAGTAATTAGACACGGAGTGTGTCTGCTTTACTAAATCATGTTAGTTCTCTTAATCCTAGCTATTGATCATTTAAATGAAATTTCAAATCTAATTTGCTAATTTCATAATTTCATTCTACTTTACGCAAGAATTTCTTAATCAATACTAATAGAGTACAATTAAGTCATGTTTGGTATGATATAATCAACCATGTAATGGAATGAGGATTACATTACATAACTGAATACATTGTTTGATTAGACCTTTTTTTTGGACAATGTAATTACTTAATTTGATGTAAGATAGAAGTTATTTTTATAGTATTTTTAATATAGTTTTTATTAGAATTTTTTTCGTATTTTTAATTACTTTAATTAATTTTTATTTATGTTTTTGAATAAAGCTTTATTGAATCATATTTCACATGATCTTGAGAAATTTTATAAGATTTTTATAGGAAACCAACCAAAAATGTAAGAGAAGGCCAATTGTCAAGGACTTCCAACAGTAGCACTGTAACACCCCTTCCCGGTCCACCCGTAAACCCGAATGCACCGAGTCGAGATGCTACAAACTGGTTGACAACTGGTTACTGTATGGTTGGACATGCTGAAAACATACTTGTATATTGGAATATAATAAATCTAATATCATGCTGAGATTGCTTATAGTAATAATGTACTGAATATTTACAAGACATGATACTAGTTACAAAATGGATTGGGCCCAACTGTGTGCCTCGTACATGCCATAAAAGAATAACAAAATGAGTTTCTACCCTGAAGACCGAGTCTTCTACAGATGAATGGCAGCAGTTGTAAACGGACCCTCTACGAACTAGTCTCAAAACCTGCGATTTAAACAGGTAACTAGCTGAGCAAATAAAGCTCAGTGGATATCTCAACATAAAACAACAATAAGCACACATATAAGCAAAAAGCATTATGTAAGCACATATATGCCACATATAAGCTCACACATTATGCATACTTTATGATATCTTGATTATCTTTGTTACTGTTTATAATCTGTATAATTTCATGAAATATTATGTAAGATATCTGAATGGGCTCCGTAGGTAAGTGAAACCGAGTGATAGATAAACTGTAATAGAAGACTGGGTGAATAACCTGTTATGCTTATTAGGCCCCGAACCGGATTGCGCATTTGCCAATTTGTCCCGTTTTGGCTGCCCCTACCGGATTCGCACGCCACGGTTTAATTCATATCCACTCAACGGCCTGTAGCCGAGTTTCCAAACTGTATGGGGCCGCAGATCTGCTATTTTCTATGTCGCACATAGCCTTATTCTACATTGGTTTCTACACCTAACCTCAATGGAGCTTAAGATTAGCATGTCAACAATGTAACACAATAGCACATAAATGGTTTCACAACGTCATAGTTCATCATATTGATTTGCTCTGATACCAAAATTTGCTTACATGTTGTTTGAATCCATGTTCTTATATTATATTTTTGTTTTACAATGATTGGATGCATGTATGTTGAGCAAAGGAATGTAATTGTATGGAAAATGAAGTCCAAAATGCATGAAACCACAAGTCGCGAGCGCACAGGGACAAGTCGCGAGCGCGAGATGCTTCCCAAGGAGAAGTCGCGAGCGCGTCTTCAAACCTTGCGAGCGCGCAAAGTGCAATTGAGAGTCAGAGAGGGAGGATGAAGTCGCGAGGCGCTTGTGTTGAATTTCGCCGAGCGCGAGATTGCGCACACTGAGAGTCAGAGAGCTTCTGGCCAAAGTCGCGACCGCGTCATTGTGATTCTCGCGAGCAGCGAGTTGTCTGCAATTGAGAGTCAGGAGAGCTACCCTGAATTCAAGTCGCGGAAGCGCCGCATAGGAAATCGCGAGCGCGAACTTGCTTTCCAGTATGCGGCGAGCGCGCGACGTGTTCTGTGCAGTCTGTGTTCTTTTTGCCATAACTCTCCAATAGCCTCAATATACAACTTCAAATTGAATGATTCAAAAGCCCATGTAAAGCTAACACATAGAGAAACAAATAACTCTTCTATGACAATTCCTAATTCCATCATTTTCTGGGGTCAAAATCAAGATGAAGTTGCTGGTGAAATTTCCAGCAAAGCTCTGTTTCATAAAGTCATTCCATCCCCTGTTTTCACAACATATCCAATCTTCTCACTCAACAACAAGCACCATATCATCTCACTAGCAACACACCACACAATTTACATGCAAAGAATCTAGTAAACAACATGAGATATCAAACCTTGATGTCAAAAAGCTTGACCTCTGTTTTAGCTTCTCTTTTCTGCAGCTTTGGAACTTTCTTCTCCTATACACAAGAATTCTCATAACTCATCTCCAATAGAACTCAATTAAAGAGTGAATAACATATAACGTCAAGGAATTCTACTTACTTGGAGTGGACTTACTGCGTAACTTGCATGAAAAGTGCAAGGAAATGGAAGGGAAACGTAAGAAGAAAATGAAAAACAGGAAAATAGGAAAGTGAAAATGATAGGAACGGAAGGGTAGACTCAGCGAAGAAGTGATTGGCTGTGTAACAATCTATTGTACCTTCAGTATACAAAGCCACAAACTTAATACCCACCTGTATTGTTTGGCTGCAAAACAAGGCCAAAACTTTTTCATGCAATAAGTCCACTTTATCATCCATTCTACCCACCGTTTGGTTCAAACCCGACTTCAACCAAGAGGATGTTACAAGCACACCGCACACCCAGGGCGTGCTACCCAGCACCCCACGCTACTCTGTAGAGTTCAACTTGGGCCGAGATTTCATATTAAGCTTGTGCTGCCTACATGAATCTGCATGAAGATATTCTGGGACGTATCTTATTAAAGCTGAAATCCTATTTAGACTCTAGGAGAATCCTAACTGGGAAAAATATAAAACATAAATAGTTTCCTATTTTCAAAAGATTTCTTCCTCAATAGAAATTTACTTTCCTAAACAAATTTGAAGATATTCCAGAAAGTCTATATAAAGAGAGAGAGACTAGTCACAATCTAGGAACATTCATTGTATATTCCATCTCTTGTTCTATTGTTCCCTACTCTATTTAGTTTTTCTCTTTTTAAGATTTTGAGTATTCAAGTTGTTGTCAAGATTTAAGGAAGCCGCTTAAGCCAATGGTTAACTATTTTTTATTTCTTAACTCTTTTCTTGTTTATTATTCATTATGGAATTATTTACAAGTTTTATTGAGTTTAATTTACTTACTATGTCGAACTAAATCTTTTTACTAGGGATATGATGTAGCTTAAATTCAACTCCAGTTTACAATATAAAATTTGATTTTCTTTATTCAAGTAAAATTTATTATTGATCTTAATGCTTCCAAGTAGAGTTTCTCCCCTGAATTAATTTATTTCATTAATCACTATCGAGAGAAGGGTTTTTTATATGAACAGGTTAGTAAATTTCACGGGAATAACAACTTGATGCAAGAGCTAGATGGTTTGATTCG